GGTTTGGAAGAAATGCCGTTGGCGGGCTTCATGGAGATGTGTATCGGGTTACGAGCTTGAAAGGTAATGCATGATAATGATGGGAATATTAGGGTTTTCTGATTTTGTGAATGTATAATTGTGTGTGTATATATATATATATTAAGCACAACATTTTAATAAGAAAACCCTAATTTCCCCATACACACACAACATTTTAATAAGAAGCACGTGCAAACTATTATAAAAACTGTCGATGCATCATAAAACATATTTTAATAAGAAAATAGAAGAACGTTTGGTTTTATTTTTTTCTTTTTTTTTGTTTGTGTGTGAGTGAAAATAGGAAGGAACCTAGAAGAAAGCCAAAGATTATTATCGTGAGCTAGCTTAATAGGCTACTCGAAACGATGATCGGCATCGCCTATTGTGATTTACACTTATATTAATGATCTATATATAGGGAAAATTATATTGTTTTTGTTGTGCGCAGCGAAAACTTTGGTAGAGTTTCTGGTGCACAATAAGAGAGAAAGATCAATAAAAATCCTCGTCTCACCAAGGAAACAAGAATCTGAAGCGAATATCTCAACAAAGTGAGATATCAGCTCTTCCTCTCATCAGTTCTAGGACTGACTTGTCGAGAGATCCTAAAACTATTACAATGGTCACAAACACAAACAAATCAATTTTACGTGGTTCGGCAAACTGCCTACGTCCACGGGGCAAGGAGAGGGAGATTTACTATTAGAGGAAGAGAAAACAACTAGGGTTTACAATCACCAATCACTCAATCTAAACCCTCACACAATCTCTCAAACCTCTCATACAAATATCTCTCTCAAAAGCTCTCCTCTGTCTGTGATTTCTTTTCACTGCACGAATCCCAAAAAAAGGAGTTCTGCCGAAAACAACACAGGCCGAAAAACAATTGTCTTCGCACCTGCACACAGCCGCAAAAAAAATAAGCTCCTGCACACCTCCTTCGCTCACACGCCCACTGTTCACGCACAAAACCCTAGGCTATATTTATAAATGATCAATCGGGTGGGCCTTGCTTCTCTTCACGCAGAAACGAATTCTCCACGCGGAACTTCATGAAGGTGGGCCCCCCACATGGAACTTCATGCGGAAACGAAATCCCCACATGTGGTGGGTCCCCACAACATCATGTGCTCACAGTTTTAAAATTTTTAATCATTGTTTTTACTATGTGTAGAAGGGATGGCTGTTAAATAGCCTGAAAAATCAACATATCAAACTGGTTTGAATTTATATTCTAGAAGATTCCAAATTACGTAAAAATTTTATCATGTACATTTCACGACATGTTGAACAAGATATACGATAGTGATCATGAATTTGATGACCTGGTTAGTCTAGCTCACGATAAGATTTAACCTCTCTATCTCATAACTACAATGAGGATACTGTTTAATGACCAACCTTGTACCGCATGCAGATGACGGATGTGGCTCACTTCGAGAAGGTTGCCGTAGAGCCAAACCACTCTGGATAATCTTTGCGGTTTCGGGGACAATTCGCCTCTCGTCACCTCTGAGGGTATCATCTTATAAGACGATCGATGGCCGAGGCCAGAAGATTAAGCTGACGGGGAAAGGCTTGCAGCTGAGAGAGTGTGAGCATGTCATTATTTGCAACCTGCAGTTTGAAGGGGGTACGGGACCTGATGCTGATGCAATCCAGATAAAACCAAAGTCCAGGCATATTTGGATAGACCGTTGCAGTTTGAGTAACTTCAGCGATGGTTTGATTGACATCACACGCGAAAGTACGGATATCACAGTTTCAAGGTAAGAGAGTTGATAAGGATTTTAAGGCATCCGTTGTCTAATAAATATCCGTTTATAGATAAGAATTTACATTTGCTTGATATTTATTATTACCGTTTCTTGCCAGTATTTGCTAGACTAATATAACCGTGATGACGACCATCAATAAAAAAAATAGTCACGTATGAATTGTTCCTGTATGTGTATTATAGCAAAGGCTGCAGGTTGATAATTAAGATGATGATCTATATTGATTTCCTTTGCTAGCATATAACTCCTTCATTGATACTTACCCTACTGACCGACTTTCCCATCTTCGAAACAGATGCCGCCTTTCCAATCATGATAAAGCAATGCTTATCGGAGCTGGTTGCAATGACTGCAACGACAGATGCATTCGTGTTACAATTCATCATTGCTTTTTTAATGGCACGCGGCAGCGACATCCTCGTGTTAGATTTGGCAAAGTTCACCTTTACAACAACTACACCAGAAATTGGGGCATATACGCAGTTTGTGCGAGTGTTGAATCACAGGTTCATCTTAATTTAAACTTTCACAATATTTTCTTATAGAATATTTTCAAATTATGCATATCGTTAACTATTATTATTGATGAATCGTCTCCTTGTATGTTTTCATTCAGATTGTCTCACAGTGCAATATATACGAAGCTGGGCAGAAGAAGGTTGTGTTTAAATATCTGACAGAAAAGGTGTGCCTCTCTCACACATAAAAACATACATACGCATGTGTACGTACTCATGAAATACTGGAGTTCAGAGGGAAACCATCATCTCATTTGGTGAAATATATATCAATTGTTTACCTTAATAGAACTTTAATTAGTTCATCGGTTTCTTGTGCTGTTCTTAATCCTACATGTTCAGTGCACTTAATTATAATTATCACAGGATCTATCATTATTGTTTTAACTATTGTTTTGTTGCTTAACGAGTTTATTTTCATTTGTTCAAGTTTTGAATTAAATGTTCTAGTTATGGCTTGTGCTCGTTGGTTAAGGCTCTACTTCATGAGTTGTAATATATATTTGGCCAAGAATATATATTGCTCTCGATTTCCATGCTGAAGCCTCGTGCATTTTTATGGATTGTTTTTTTTTTTATGTTGTAGTAGATCATATCTTAAGATGCCATTTTGACATATTGCAAGTATATACACACATTTATGTCAGTTATAATCGAGTGCATACTAAGGCATATCGGTCGCTTGATATCGTGGTTGTGTTGGTGATCCAGGCAGCAGATAGAGACCATGGCAGCAGTGGTCCAAGAATATATATTGCTCTCGATTTCCATGCTGAAGCCTCGTGCATTTTTATGGATTGTTTTTTTTTAATGTTGTAGTAGATCATATCTTAAGATGCCATTTTGACATATTGCAAGTATATACACACATTTATGTCAGTTATAATCGAGTGCATACTAAGGCGTATCGGTCGCTTGATATCGTGGTTGTGTTGGTGATCCAGGCAGCAGATAGAGACCATGGCAGCAGTGGATTTGTGAAGTCGGAAGGTGACCTATTCCTGAATGGTGCTCAACCTTGTCCTGCGAATGGCTCCGGTGGAGAACGCGTCTTCAAGGTCCAGGATCACTACCCAAAATGGACTATGGAGCGTGCATCTGTTGCTCTCAAAGAAGCTCTCCAGGTGTGCACTGGATGGCAGGCTGTCCCGATACCTGCGGACAAATCTGGTGCTATCAGAGGTGCTGCCGCTACTTGAAAAAAAAAAGTTATTTAGATTTATAAATCCATGTTGTGTCATCTCTTGGCACTTACAATAAAGATACGCACGCCCTTATGTATTGTCTTATTGATTATAAATAAAGTCTATTAATAAAGATAAGAAGTTTCTTTCTATTTCTGTATTTGATTTAGAAGTGAATTATCTAGAGTATTGAGAAGAAAGATAAGAAGAAAAGTATAAGGCAGGTTGCATGTTCTTGGAACGCATTTCATATATGGATTCAAGAAATAAATTTTCCAGCGTTTATGATAGAAATTCAGTAGGCACTGCTCAGAATATGTGAAGACACACATTCTTTCTTATTGAAACTGGCCTTTGTTGTTGGATTCTTCATAAGCTCTTTGAATTCTGACCAGCTGTTACTAGTTTTTTTTTTTCTGTGGGTGTCAATATTGAAATTTACATTAGATCAATTGAGAAGAAACAGAGTGCAATAACTCGAGCGATAACTTGTGAATTGTTTGAAAAATTACTCGGACAGTTCATCAGTTGGCGTTAATAATTAAACCTCATATTGTTGAACCGTTTGCACCTATATTTTGGGATTATAAGCCGGCAATATCTGTATCTTCAAAATAAGGGCTGCAATGAAAATGAGCCCCTATATCCAAGCTGTTCTCTTTCTTCATGGAAGGCTTGTCAATCGAGTTTGTTCCAGATATTTTTACAAATTATTTAAATTACGAACAGGTTTTCTCTGGTATATAAAAAAAATTCTCATTTCGCTAATAAAGATAATAATTATTACTAAATAGGCGCACATAGTTATAATACGTTATCCTGTAGGATGCCTAAGTTCGATTACATTATAACACATGTATTTTGACCAAGGATGGATCCAAATCCATTGACAATGTTTCTATAATATCCTTGCTGTGAGGTTGTGCAATTATTATACTGATAAGTGCAGAATCTTATCTTGTGGAAGGATAAGCTTAGTCAACCTATAACTTGTCATGAATTTTGTTTGTATCGTAACCAGATAAGCAGTAAAAGGTATACATACACAGATAACTACACGTTGTTATACTGTTGGATGTGGTTGACTACGCACAAAAGGGCTGCTGTTATCTTGCGTTAGGATGAAGCTGACACTAATATTGCATGACCTATTTTGTCGAATCCTTCAAAGAAATACGCCTGCGTATCTTACTATAGTGACATGGATGCGTGTGACATTATTTTAATCGGTTGATGAGGTCAACTATGCGCATTCGTACAATTAATGTACAAGCTCATCGATGCTGAGTCGATTAGGATCTAGGTAAACTCATGCTGGGTTGGTTGGTTTGGACTAGCGTCGGACTTGATATATCAAGACTCGAATTCTTTGACAAATACAGATCGAGCACGCAGCTGTACGTACGTTCGTAGGTTCTCATGGTATATATATATATATATATATATATATCAAAAGGAAGAATTTTCGTTTGCGTTTGTCCTCAGCAAGTCAACTTTAAAAGTCAACTTAATTTGCTGACGTGGGGGTCTGACAAGTAACATGGAAATGCCACCCTCTTGCCTCGATCTGTTGCTTAACTTTTAATTGTATAACCTTTCCTTTGTTTTCACATGTTCCATCTTCTGACGCTCCTACAGCTTGTAAGACAAAAAAATGATGGTTGACATAATGTTACCGATCAATTGCGTTGATAGTCTAATTTTTTTAATTTTTTTTCTTCAAGAATGCATGTATTAATATCTTACGTATAGTATAGAATTGAATTAGGTTGTTTATGTATGTAGCAATAACTCATTAAAAGAACAAATTATGAAAACGTCGACTTGCCTAACGTTCACCAGTTCCGAATTTTTTTCCTTTTTTGGCCGGCAATTAAAGTACAAGTTACTATAATCACAAAAGTTTAAGAAGTTCGAATGTGGGAATTAAAAATCTAGTTATGTTTCTCTAGCATGATCTCTCCGTTCAACATTTGGCAGCATCTATGAACTTATTGTAAATATGCACGTAGCACGCGCTTAATCGATCTGTTGGTGAAGTCTTTTCTTTTGACTGTCCTACTTATGCCTCTCAGATTCCCTTTTCTCATTTTTGAATAGTCGCTTATAAACTAAGGCACGATTTTATTTTATACGCCATTCTCCGAATCTAACCATAGAATTTTTCCCTTGTCTGCCAGTGGTGCTTGATCCTCTGCCTCGACGAATTTATGAAATGTATAGTTATAATCTTATTTTCCATAATTTTCCATCATTTTTTTTAATTTTAACACAATCTGCACAACAAAAAGACAACTGTAAAGGATATGATTTCGTTTATCAGTCTTTAAGTTCTTTGATGTTTCCATAAATAACGACAGTATGACTACTCGAAAAATAATGTCTGTGGTCTATTGAATTGCCAATTTTTGGTCAATTAAAAAACTATCTGACATGCATTTTGGATATTTCAGTCTTAATATTGAGTTCTGGACATTTCACAACTTGGCTTTCTTCGCCCTTATTAGCTTTCTTTGTGGTGAAAATTTGGGAGTGTTCTTCAAAGTTTGGCGATAAAGTTCAGCTGATATTTTTGTTCATCCTTAGCCAAATTTGTACTGTATAATTCATATGGTGCATGTTAGACTCCAAATTTGTACTGTATAATACATTGATAATTGTTTAGTCCGGAGCTGGCCTGTATTCCTCTGTTATTGGACTGCTTCGATTAATATCTGTTATTGTAAAAGGTTGAAAAAGTAAATGATGTATGACAAAAGCTTATCCCTGTCGTTATTTTCTAAAAGATGCATGCATGACAATTTCTAAGCATGAATATGATGCATGATGTGTTTTTATGTCATGGTTTCAATCCTTTACCCACTTGATGGTGTCGATAATTATATATACTACAATTAGATACTTTGAAACGCAAGGGTAAATGTATCTAACAGCCGCCGCCTAATATCAAAATTCAAAACATGCATGCTTCTTGGATATCTCGTGCTTCACGTGGAGATCATGGCGTGTAAAAAAATTCTGCAGGAAATTTGATGGCCCCTAGCCTGCAAGAATGTTTGGGAAGTTTCTGACTTTTATGCAAAGGTGATGGCTCTTACCTCATAAGCTGAAGTACTCCTATTTGAGTATCTATTAATTCGTTTCTATCTTTTTCTAAGTGGTCATGGTGCTATTTTGATTTGACAAAGGCCATGTTAATTACATCGTCACCATTAACATCGCTTTCTTCACTTACAGGCTCTCGTTGAACTTAATATAGCAATACAAATTTTATCCAATCTTACTCTCGGTTGATAATATTTCAACCTTAACATAGTTAGCGAAGGTCGATGCTGACACAATTTGTCTACTTTGTCCAAATATGTGTGCAAGGAACTTTTTCCATGAGCATATATCATTCATTAATTCGAATAGCTCCAAACTTCTGACTCCATTTTCATGATGCGTTAATTTATCGATCTTTCGCTGAACACATTTAACAATGCAGTTGACTTGTTCTCACTTCATGGGAGGGGAGGCTTACTATTGGGTAAAATAGAACTAATCAATTACCTTTTTTATCTGTACATTTCACATGATATATAGTGATGATAAATGATTTAATTTGTTGATTGGCATTGTTCTTCTTATCCCTTGCTCTTGCCTTTTTCCGTTTAGATTTTTTTTTATTTTTTTAATTTTTTGGTTGGAAGACTTGCTTTGATTTTGTGTCCCCTAATAATTCATGTTAACTGATAAGCATTTGCATATGTATTGTCTGGAATAAGCATTTGCATATATAACTAAGTTATGAGTAATATCAACATGTCCTAATTGATTGTATTAGTCTAAGTCCTAATCGATTAACATGTCCTAACGGATATTTATTACATATTTAGCAACATATCTTATCTTGATTGTATTAATCCAAGTCCTAATTGATTGGCATTTAGGAACCGAGGAGAATCTTATGTTTGATGATTAAATCTCTCTTGACTTTGTCACAACCACTTCAAGCTTGCTCATTGGTAATGGTTTGTGGCTAGTTTTAATAATTTTTGAAGATTTAATATGTAATTATTCACGTGTCCAGCTTTGTATGTTTGTTTGGGAGTTAAAAATCCATGTAATGTTGATGCTATGAAATTAAAAATTATGAACTCTGCACGAGTGGTTGGGTCACTGAAAAGTTAGGACCAACTGCCTGAGAGTGATCTGTTAGAAGAAATAATTATCAAGCATTAACTAATTAATCTTGTTCATTCAATTGCAGGCAAAATGAGGCTATTTATTCATAATTGAAAAGTCAAATTTGGTGTGAGCGTAACTATTAATCTATGTATAATTATTTTTTAACGATTGAGATCATGTTTTAGCTGAGTTTTCAGGCTCTTACAAGTCCTTGAGGTGCCTCAATTTTTCTTCTTCATATTTTAGTTAAAAAAATGTAACACTCCTTCAGTTTTCTTCTCATATATATATATATATATCTCCCAACGGCTAGGATTCAGTCAAACAGACACATGTATTAATTACCTCATTAAATACATGCATTAATTACATCAACGCAGTGAATCCAGATTCACTACAGTGAACCCAGATTCATTACCTCAACGAACATGTCCTTCACTGCAGTGAATCCAGATTCACTACCTCAACGAACACGTTTTTCACTGCAGTGAATCCAGATTTACTGCAGTGAATCCAGATTCATTACCACAACGAACACGTTTTTCACTGCAGTGAATCCAGATTTGTGTTCGTTGAGGTAATTAATGCATGTTCTGTTGACTGTTTGACTAACTCTCAGTCATTAGATTCATCTAGATCCAATGGATGATATTGGTTTTTAGTTTTTAGGCTAAGGAGGTTTTTATTAGAACCTCTCCCTATATATATATATATATATATATATATATATATATATATATATATATATATATATATATATATATATATATATATATATATATATATATATATATATATATATATATATATATATATATATATATATATATATATATATATATATATATATATATATATATATATATATATATATATAGAAATATGGTATGTCTTGGTAACAATGCATAAATT